ACCTTGGCAAGGCTCGTTCTTATCAGAGACAATTAGTTCGAAACAGCCTTTTAACCAGGAAGGAACGGAATTCATAAAAAACAATTAAAAGGTTTTGCTGTTACCTCTGTTTCATGTTTGTTTCCTTGGAACAAGGTTTGGGTCAGAACATGTTCATTTTGTGACCGTTCAAAGTTCAAAATGTGACTTCTAAACCATTTTTCACACTTAACGACCACTGCAACATCTCCACTGTCAGAAAAGGGCAACTAGGCTTTAAAGTTGGCGTAGGCCTCTGCTTAATTGAAGGCCTTAAATTAAATATATATAATAATGCCGGCTGAGCTGATTTTGCAGGCACAGCAATATGTTTGCTATCTGCTACTTCTGCAAAAAGCATATATTTGCTGGACAATCAAAAACAGGAGCTACTTTGGATCACGAATGTCTGGGACATTGAGAAAAGGGGGAACTGAAAGTAGCAGGCGGTACACGAGTTGGCATATACCTAAAAGCGGGTATTAAGTGATGGGGCAGTATAAGGGAATAGGGAAGTGCATCCAGTAAGATTACATACATGCATTGTGCGGAAATGAATACGCTTCCTATGGAGTTGCAAGAGAAGGAAAAAAGAGAATTCTATACGGTCTGGGAGAATTTATATACTTGGATAGATAACAGGAATAATAGATAATATATCATGTAAATATGAATAATGCATATATGTGTATAGATATGAATAATGGAAGATGGGGGGAAAAACGATGCTACAATGCATTGCAAAAATTGTAAACACGTTTTATGTGTTTTTGTACTGTAAAACTTTAATAATATTTATGTTAAAAAATCACTGGAAGTTTTAAATGAGAGATGGGACAGCCACTCGTCTCAAATTATATAGGGCCTCCTGCTTGAGCAGGGGGTTGGACTAGAAGACCTCCAAGGTCCCTTCCAGCCCTAGTCTGATTCTGAAGGATTATCTTCACATACCAAGGACCCCAGAAAGCCATCTTCCAAGGTGGGCCCTCATTCCCAGCTGGGAGGGAGGGAGGAAAGAAGGAAGGATAGATGGATGGATAGAAGGAAAGAAGGCAAGGAAGAAGGAAGGGAGGGAGGGAGGGAGGGAGGAACGAAAGAAGGAAGAATAGATGGATGGATAGGAAAGAAGGATAGGAAGCAGGCAGGCAGGGGTACCTGTATATCTGCCCACACACTTCCATGCATACCCAGACAACCCCTTCCTAGCCCACTATTAACATTTAACAATTCTTTCCATTAATTCATCGCTTCCAAAGCTTTCCAAGCACTTCAGATCCGTAATCCTGTAACGCAGATCAAGGCAGAGATGCCATCGGGGATGGCAAAGGGGGAGGAAGTTCTCTCCTGCTTCTAGAACATTCCGTATGATTTAAAATAAAAATAAAATAAAATTCCAGAGCCCAGGGTGTGCTAGATCCCATTAGAGCTTAATTAGAGTCGGAGACTCACCTGGGGCATTCAGCCTTTCGATTCACACGGCCATTAAAATTTTCTTGCCAGGTGGTTTATTATTTTTAATGGAATTAAGTGCGCGTTTAAGCGGCTCTTATGTTTTCCCAGCGTGCCTGGAATTTGTGTCTCTGAAAAACAAGGCTGGAAAAAACGCTTCTTGTGGGCCCCAGGAGAAATGGTCCACATCCAAGTTTCGTGCCCCTTCCCAGCCCCAGGCAAGCTACCATATTCCTGACCCAGAGAATAATCTACATTTGATGCAATTCTGTTAAGGTCTTGGGGTTTAAGAGCCGACCAGCAGTGAAGCTGACCAGATGTGGCTGATGCAATAGCAATAGAATCAGCATAGCATGGGTATTTTCCTTTAAGGCTGGGGATGGTTCTATCCCTTTAAAAGCTGTTTATATAAAGGGAGCCATTAGAGGGCGTGTTCTCTCTCCTTGTGTCCGGAATTCATTACAGAGTTCTCTGTGTAGAATTTATTTATTTTTATTTTTATTTTATTTATTTATTTGATTTGTCAATTGTTTACAAGATAATAAGTACAAGTGTATACATAGTTGTGAATATATGAAATGGGTACATATAAGAAAAATAAAATAAGAGAAACAATAGGACAGGGACGGTAGGCACGTTGGTGCGCTTATGCACGCCCCCTACAGACCTCTTAGGAAAGGGGTGAGGTCAATAGTAGACAGTCTAAGGTTAAAGTTTTTGGGGTTTGGGGAAGAGACTACAGAGTCGGGTAGAGTATTCCAGACATTGACCACTCTATTGCTGAAGTCGTATTTCCTGCAATCAAGTTTGGTGCGGTTTACTTTGAGTTTGTATCTGTTGTGTGCTCTTGTGTTGTTATGGTTAAAGCTGAAGTATTCATTGACAGGTAGGACATTGCAATGTATGATTTTATATACCATGCTTAAGTCGGACCGAAGACGGCGTAATTCGAGGTTTTCTAGTTTTAGAATTTCGAGTCTGGTGGCGTAAGGTATTCTATAACGGGTAGAAGAGTGGAGAACTCTTCTTGTGAAATACTTCTGGACTTTCTCAATTGTGTTAATATCACATACGTGATAAGGATTCCAGACTGATGAACTGTATTCGAGTATTGGTCTAGCAAATGTTTTGTATGCTCTGGTTAGTAGTGAGATATTACCAGAGAAAAAGCAACGTAGGATTAGGTTAACAACTCTTAATGCCTTTTTGGCTATGTAGTTGCAGTGAGCTCTAGCACTTAGATCATTAGAGGTGAGTATTCCCAGGTCCTTTACAGAGCTTGGGTCATCAACAAGATCTTGACTATTCAGTTTGTATTTTATTTTCTGATTTTTTTTACCAATATGTAAGACAGAGCATTTATTTGTTGAGATTTGGAGTTGCCATATGTTAGACCATTCAGATACATAGTCTAGATCTTTTTGAAGGGTAGTAGTATTGTCTGTGGTATTGAACAGCTTTACATCATCAGCGAAGAGGATGCAGTTGTTCTTAGTATGATCACAGAGGTCATTCATGTAGAGTATGAAGAGAGTTGGTCCTAGAACACTGCCTTGGGGGACACCACTGTTGACAGGTACAGAATTTGATAGGACGCTCCCAATTTTGACCATTTGTTGTCTGTTTGACAGGAATGCTTCTATCCAGTTATGCAGTTGTCCGGAGATACCGTAAGATTTTAGTTTTAGGAGTAGTTTGTCGTGTACCACTGAATCAAAGGCTTTGCAGAAGTCTATGTAGATTGCGTCTATTGCTTTGCCCTGGTCGAGTTGAGTAGTCCATATGTTTTTGCAGTGTAAGAGTTGCAGATTACAGGATAGTTTGTTTCTGAAACCAAATTGTTTATTGGAGAGTAGGTTGTTTGTCTCTAAATGGAGGATGATGGATTGGTTAATAATTGATTCCATGACTTTACAGGTGACGCAGCATAAGGAGATTGGCCTGTAATTTTCAACTAGGCTTGGGTCTCCCTTTTTGAAGATGGGAATGACTGTGGCTTGTAACCATAGGTTGGGCAAGGAGCTGGTTCTGAAAGATCTTTCAAAGATTATGCTTAGAGGTTTGGCTATGGCAGCGGATAGTTTTCTTAAGAAGTAGGCACATATTCCATCCGGTCCAATAGATAGAGATGGTTTTAGGTTGCGTAGTGCTTTTTCAACGTTGTCTACTGTAAAATCGATATGTATTAGATCATTATTGTTGTCTGTGGTACGGCTAGGAAACATTGGGAATTAAGAATTAAGAAGAAGACTGATTGCTTGTAAGGTATTTTGCCTACCACGTATATCTCTGTATATTGTCTTGTACATAAACTACTGTTAAATGTCTAAGTGTGTGCTCTGTTTTGCTCCTGGGTTGTCTCACAATAGCAGTCACGTGCTGCAAACGCTTTGACAAATTCAGGGGTTCAAATCCTGAAACAGTATTTGCTGTGTGAGTAAGGAGGAGACAGCAAGGAGCCTGGGCGTGGCTTAGCTCAACTGTTCTGTATTAAACCTGCTTGGTTCTCTGAAACTGAAACGGAAACTCCTCTGCTTGTGTTTTGCCTTTGGAAGAGATTTCTTTTCAGGTGGGGAGGGGGAGTAGAACTCCTTAGCATCAGAGCATGTTAATAATATAGGAAA